TTTCATGACTGAGAAGGGATTTGAACCCTGGTCTTCTAACATCCAAAGTCAATACTCTCAACACATCTTACCACTCAAATAGGTTCAGCACCTTGGACAGCTCATGTAATACAATATACTATATCATGTTTCCACACCTACAGAAGATACCTAGTCTGCCAAATGTTTGTTGTTGTATGTCTTCAATTCATTACACATTTATAGTACCTGTGAGTACATCTACACTGAAGAATTAATGCAGTTTGGCACCCCTTTAACTGCAATGGCTCAAAGGAATGGAACACTGGGATTTGCAGTTTGGTGAAGTACCAGGTCCTTTAGGAGCTCCCAGTGGTGCAGTGGGTCAAATCCATGTGCCGGCAGGACTGAAGACCAACAGGTCAAAGGTTCGAATCCTGGGAGAACATGGATGAGCTCCCTATGTCAGCTCCAGCTCTTTATGCAGAGACATGAGAGAAGCCTCCCACAAGGATGGTTAAAACATCAAAAATTCCAGGCGTCCCCTGCGCAATGTCCTTGCAGACGGCCAATTTTCTCACACCAGAAGCGACTTGCAGTTTCTCAAGTAACTCCTGACACGACAAAAAACAAAACAACCACAAAAAAAACCAGACCCTTTGGCAGAGAAGGCTAAAGACACTCTAAAACTACAACTACCACAATTCCATAGCATTGAACTGGGGTCAAATGACATTGATGATACAGTACAATGTCATATCGTCATCGTAGATGATTCCTCATGGCCGAGTCTGATTGTTTTCCAAGGGCAGAGTCTTGGCGATGGGTCCATAGGTGACTATTCTGGATCCACATGCTCTTTCACAATGTACATGCACTTTGAGCCTGCATTTCAAGTACTGTACAATATCACTCTTTTCTTTCTGTATCGCATTCTCCCTTTCAGCTTGTTTTTAAGGGCATGCTGCTCTTGCTCTTCCCGTTTTGCAGATCTGCAGCTCACAAGGCTGGAAGCAATCAGAAAGGGTTTTCTCTGCCCTTGTGAAGGGGACGTCCTTGCAAAAGAGAGAAGTCTGTGGCAGCTTGCAATCACACTTCTCAAGGAGTGTGCCCAGATTTTGCTTATGTGACAAAATTCCCTAATGCCCTTCCTGTGAAGTTTCTCTCTGCATCTCTGTCCTTCTGCGCCAAATAATAGACCAAGTGGTAAAAGCTCCCTAGTTGTAACTTCAGAGTTGGAGAATCCCTGGATTGAATGTGTTTTCCTGCAGTAAAAGGCTAAAACAAGCATATGCAAACTTGGGCCCTCCAGGTGTTTTGGACTTCAACTCCCACAATTCCTAACAGCCTACCGGCTGTTAGGAATTGTGGGAGTTGAAGTCCAAAACACCTGGAGGGCCCAAGTTTGCCCATGCCTGGGCTAAAACTAGAACCTCTGGTGAAAGGTTCTACCAATTCCTTATTAGTATCCTAGAGTTGGAAGAGACCACAAAGGCCATCCAGTCCAACCCCATTTTGCCATGCAAGAAGACACAATGAAAGCTCTTCAACGATCAATCTCCTAAGGCTATAATATGGATTTAATGCATCTATATTGTAGAATTAAAACAGTTTGACTTCATTTTAGCTACCATAACTCAATTTTATTTGATTTTTTTATGTCAGGAGCAACTTGAAAAACTACAAGTGGCTTCTGGTGTGAGAGCACTGTCTCTCCAAGGTTGTTGCCCAGGGGACACCCAGATGTTTGATGTTTTACCATCTTTGTAGGAGGCTTCTCTCATGTCCTGATATGGGGAGCTGGAGCTGACAGAGGGAGTTCAACCCATTCTCCTTGGATTCAAACCCCTGACCTGTCGGTCTGCAGTCCTGCCTGCACAAGGGTTTAACCCTTTGCCCCACTGGGGGCTCCAACCATGACTCTGGAATGAATATAGTGCTATGGTGCTATGGAATTAATATAGTTTAATGAAGTTTCAGCACTCATTCAGCCATAAATGGGAAATGACTTGAAGACATACAGCAACAATCTTTTGGCAAACTAGGAATCTTCCAGAGGTGTGTAAATTATGGAAGATGTAGTTTTACAACATTTCTTGCTACCTCTACTTCACCAGACTTCCAGGATTCAATAGCATCGAGCCATAGCAGTTAGTCTCAAGCTGCACTGAACCTTAGCAGTTAAAGTGGTGTTGAACTGTATTAATTCTGGAGTGTAGACACACTCACAGTGCATCTGGCCATGGAGGTTTAAGTTGCTAAGATGGCTAGCAATGTCATCATAAGTGTATCCTTCTTGTATAACCTGATTGGTTTAATGGTTAGGTTCAAAAGTATATTATATTATATTATCTTCCTTCTGTAGTCACTTCCCTATTTGAATGAAAGTAACTTAATAATAAAAAAAGTTATATAATAATATAATATTGTAATTATAATAATTATTATATTATTATAATTATTAATATAATAAATGTTCTAAATAAATAAATGTATAAATGTTCTAAATAAATATATAGATTAGAATTATTATGTATAAATGTTCTAAAATGTTCTAAATAAATAAATAAAGGCTAGCAATGTCATCCTTCTTGTATAACCTGGTTTGTTTAATGGTTAGGTTCAAAAGTATATTATATTATCTTCCTTCTGTAGTCACTTCCCTATTTGAATGAAAGTAACTTAATAATAATAATAACTTAATAATAATAATAATGTTGTTATTATTATAAGATCTTCTGGGGAGGCTCTGCTCTCGGCCCCACCTCTATCACAAGTGAGATTGGTGGGGACGAGGAGCAGGGCCTTCTCAATGGTGGCCCCTCACTGTGGAATTCACTTCCCAGGGAAATTAGGTCATCAACATCCCTCCTCTCTTTTAGAAGGAAACTAAAAACATGGATATGGGACCAGGCCTTCAGGTAATCTGGCAGATAGACAAAGGACAATGACGACTAGAATTGATAGGATTTGACAATGTGGAATGAATTTACAGATTCTGAGCTGCCGAACGTTGAGCATTAGATTGGTTTTATTGATTGTGATGTATAATTGACTGTTTTAATTGTTTTATAATTGCTGATGATATATGTTTTTATCTTATTGTTTGTGTTGGCATCGAATTGTGCCTTTTGTAAGCCGCCCTGAGTCCTCCCTCGGGGGTTGAGAAGGGCGGGGTAGAAATGCGCTAAATAAATAAATAAAATAAAATATATAATAATATAATATAATAATTATATTATAATTATTAATATAATAAATGTTCTAAATAAACATATATATTATAATAATAATGCATAAATGTTCTAAAATGTTCTAAATAAATAAATAAATAATTATGGTCTAAATAATTATAAATTAATAAATAATTATATTATAATAATCCCCAGTGAAATTAGATTGGCTCCACCTCTCCTCTGCTTTAGAAAAAAGCTCAAATCATGGCTATAGGACTGGGCATTCAGTTAGTAGGCTTAGCAGTAATTATCGCAATGACTCCTGAGAATTGATAATGGAAAGGCCTTGGAATAGAAGTCTGGACGCTGACTTGGATTTGGATGTGGTTGTATTGTTGTTAATAATGTTTTTAATGGACATTTTCTAATTTAATGTTTGAATTCATATTTAATTTGTGTTTAGATTGCAGGAATTCAGACTGCAGGAATTCAGAAGGAATTCCTTCTTGGGAGGAGAGCAATGCCAATATCCATAAAAGTAGAAACATCACACTGGTGACGAAGGTCCATATAGTGAAAGCAATGGTATTCCCTGTAGTAACCTATGGATACCAGAGCTGGACCATAAGAGAGGCTGAGCGAAGGAAAATAGATGGTTTCGAACTGTGGTGTTGGAGGAAAATTCTGAGAGTGCCTTGGATTGTGAGAAGATCAAACCAGTCCATACTCAAGGAAATATAAATATTTGAAAAATATAATATAATATAATATAATATAATATAATATAATATAATATAGGACCATAAGGAAGGCTGAGCGAAGGAAGAGAGACGCTTTTGAACTGTGATGTTGGAGGAAAATTCTGAGAGTACCTTGGACCGCGAGAAGATCCAACCAGTCCATACTGGAAATAAAGCTCGACTGCTCATTGGAGGGAAGGATACTAGAGACAAAGATGAAGTACTTTGGCCATATAATGGGAAGACAGGAAAGCTTGGAGAAGATTATGAAGCTGGGGAAAATGGAAGGAAAAAGGAAGAGGGGCCGACCAAGGGCAAGATGGATGGATGGCATCCTTGAAGTGACTGGCTTGACCTTGAAGGAGCTGGGGGTGGCCACAGCCGACAGGGAACTCTGGCTTGGGCTGGTCCAGGAGGTCATGAAGAGTTGGAAGTGACTGAACAAATCAACAACAACAAATATAATAAAAAACTTTATTTATAGATATCTTGGGCCCAATCCTATTATATGAGATGTTATGGTTCTCCCTGAAGGTCTGGCTTTAATCCCTAAATAGTGTTTTCCCACAAAATAATGTTTACACTTACCTTGAAAGTATAATCTGCAAGTACTTGTATTCTGAATGGGACTCAGGCTTCCCATTTGATTTTTTAATTAATTCCCACATAAGCACTGTATCATCAAAAATGAAATCTTTCCCTCGGAGAGTATTAAGCGTGTCCCGTAAAACAAATCTCCCCGGATTCCCCTAAGGATTAAAGGCATCATCATAAATCACCAGAACTATGGGTGACTTTGGAGGGCAATGAAGGGTGTTCCAAAGCTATTTTCCGCAGGTTTTGTGCAAACTCTCTCTCTCTCTCTTTTTGTTCATCCCTTCTTTCTCATCCTCTCTTACTCTCAGACATCTCCAGTTAAGCAGCTAGACTCGGCGCAGTAATTGCTCAGGCAGCAGAGACACTCCCGTTATTATTAATTTAATACAATAATTATGTTGCCAAGCAGCAGCCGGGGCAATTCCTCTGGGAAGAGACACGGAGGAAAATTGAGCGCATCATGGACGCAGCATCGCTTCCTGACTGTTCGTGCTAGACGTGAAATCTCCGAAGGCCTGATCCGTCTTACCTCCACGCCATCCGGAGAGGTGTTTCCATCTCCGGCGGATTCTGGCGCTTCCTCGTCCTGGAACATCGCCCTCTTATACTCCGTCATCTGAAAGGAAAAAAGCATACATGTTGAGCATCCTTTATCCAAAGTGCTTGGGATCAGAAGTGTTTTGGATTTCGGAATACCCAGATTGGCATATATGTAGATCATGAGATACCTTGGAGATGGGACCAAAGTCTAAACATGCTAGCTCTCTCTCTCTCTCTATATATATATATATGCGCCATGCGGACACTCCACCCAACTGATACATCACGCAACAAAAATACATTATTGAACACACACACACACACACACATACACATATATATATAAGTTCAATAATGTATTGTCGAAGGCTTTCATGGCCGGAATCACTGGGTTGTTGTAGGTTTTTTCAGGCTGTATGGCCATGGTCTAGAGGCATTCTCTCCTGACGTTTCGCCTGTTCTTCTCCAGTTCATCACCTCCTTCAAGATGAACTGAACCACTTCAACTGGGCTCTACAAGTCAATGGATACTCCACCTCAGACATCAGAAGAGCTGCAAGACCAAGAACAAGCCACGAGAATAAAGACGAAGATCCACCCAGAGGAAAAGTGTTCTTGCCATACATCAAGGGAACCACTAACCACATAGGGAAGATGAGGAAACACAACATACGAACCACCTACAGACCTACTAAGAAAATCCAACAAATGCTACGTTCAGCAAAGGACAAGAGGGATCCTCTCACCTCTGCAGGAGTCTACCGTGTACAATGCAGCTGTGGACAAGTCTACATAGGGACCACCAAACACAGCATTGCCCAAACACGAATCAAGGAACATGAAAGGTACTGCAGACTACTTCAATCAGAGAAGCCAGCCATAGCAGAGCACCTGATGAACCAACCTGGACACAGCATATTATTTGAGAACACCGAAATGCTGGACCACTCTCACAACCACCATGTCAGACTACACAGAGAAGCCATTGAAATCCACAAGCATGTGGACAATTTCAACAGAAAGGAGGAAACCATGAAAATGAACAAAATCTGGCTACCAGTATTAAAAAACTCTAAAATTGCAACAGCACAACAACAGAGAGGAAGCAAGCAGGGACATCTAATTACCTCTCAACAAAAGTTTGCTCCAGGCACAGTCAGCCCATTGTATGCTAATCAAGGTGGTCAGTTGAAACATTCACACCTAGCTCCAACATTCCAAAAGCCTTTGTCTCACCCTGGTCATTCCACAGATATATAAACCCCTTTTTCCTAGTTCCAACAGACCTCACTACCTCTGAGGATGCTTGCCATAGATGCAGGCGAAACGTCAGGAGAGAATGCCTCTAGACCATGGCCATACAGCCCGAAAAAACCTACAACTCAATAATGTATGTTTGTTGTGTGGTGTTTCAGTTGGGTAGAGTGTCCACATGGCACACATATGCTTAATTATCCAACTAATGGAAGTATTCGAACTAATAAAAACACCTCTTTAGGGACCATAGATCATAGAATCATAGAGTTGGAAGAGACCTCATGGGCCATCCAGTCCAACCCCCTGCCAAGAAGCAGGAAAATTGCATTCAAAGCACCCCAGACAGATGGCCATCCAGCCTCTGTTTAAAAGCCTCCAAAGAAGGAGCCTCCACCACACTCTAGGGCAGAGAGTTCCACTGCTGAACAGCTCTCACAGTCAGAAAGTTTTTCCTAATGTTCAGGTGGGATCTCCTTTCCTGTAGTTTGAAGCCATTGATCTGCATCCTAGATCAGACAAAAGGATCAAAATGGATTGCCCGTAGCTTAGTGAAGAATTGGCTGTTGCTGGGTGAAGTGGTCCTCTGTGATGTCTCTGGGAAAGAAAGGTTTTTGAAGCAGCTTGGCTACTGATAGGTGATGTGTGAATGAAGAAGAGGGAGGGAGAAGAAAAAGAAGGGAAGGAAGAGAGAAGAGGGAGAAAGAAAAAGATTGGAAGGAGGAGAAAGGAAAGAGGGGAAAGTATGAGTGGAAGGTAGGAAAGAAAGAGAAAAAAGAAGGGAAGGAAGGAAGGAGGGAAAGAAGGAAGAGAGAAAAGTGGAAGAGAAAGGACAGAAAGAAAGGCAAAGAAGCAGGGAGAAGGTATATGTGGGAAAACAAGGGAAGGGAAGGGAGAGGGAGAAGGTATATGAGGGAAATGGAAGAAGGAAAGAAAGACTCAGAAAGAAACTGTGAGAAAACAAGGGAAGGAACGAAGGAGTGAGGGAGAAGGTATATGAGGGAAACAGAAGAAAGAGAGAAAGAAAGAAGAAAGAAAGAAAGAAAGAAAGAAAGAAAGAAAGAAAGAAAGAAAGAGAAAGAAACTGTGGGAAAACAAGAGAGGGAGGGAGGGAGGGGGGAGAAGGTGTATGAGCGAAATGGAAGAAGGAAAGAAAGAGCCACACAGAGACTGTGGGAAAACAAGGTAAAAAAGAAAGGAGGGAGGGAGGAGAAGTTGTATGAGGAAAACAGATGAAGGAAAGAAAGAGACACACAAAGACTGTGGGAAAACATGGCAAAGAAAGAAGGGAAGGAGGGAAAGAGGGAGGAGCAAGGGAGAAGTTATATGAGGGAAACGGAAGGAAGGAAGGAAGGAAGGAAGGAAGGAAGGAAGGAAGGAAGGAAGGAAGGAAGGAAGGGGGAAGAAGGTGTATGAGGGAAAAGGAAGAATGAAAGAGTCACGCAGAGACTGTGGGAAAACAAAGGAAAGAAAGAAAGAAAGGAGGGAGGGAGGGAGGGAGGAAGGAAGGAAGGAAGGAAGGAAGGAAGGAAGGAAGGAGAGAGAGAGAGGGAGGGAGAAGGTGTATGAGGGAAATAGAAGGAGGAAAGAAAGAGCCACAAAGAGACTATAGGAAGACAAGGGATGGAAGGAAGGATATGAGGGAAACAGAAGAAGGAAAGAAAGAGCCCAAACAGCATTTCCAGAACAGTGCCAAGAAGGCATTGTGAGGTAGGCCTTCTCAGAGCTGGAGAAGGGAGAAAGCAAGGGGGCAGTCAGGCCCTCCGATATCCGGGCCACTATAGGTATTTATCAGGGATGGGCCAACTTTGGTCCCCCAGTGTCTTGGACTTCAACTCCCAGCCAGTAATAGCAAATAAAGAACAACACTCAAACACAGGGGAACTCCAGACAAGAAACAATCAGGGACAGCTAATCACCTTTCAACAAAGGATTCTCCCAGGTAGTAACAAGCCACATCAAAAAAACTGTCAGGCCATCAAATGCTAATCAAGGTAGCCAACTGACACATTCACACCTACCTCTCAACAAACAAGAGTTCTTTCTCCCACCCTGGACGTTTCACAGATATATACATCCAATTTTGCTAGTTTCCAACAGATCTCACAACCTCTGAGGATGCCTACCACAGATGCAGGTGAAACATCAGGAGAGAATGCTTCTAGAACATGGCCATATAGACCGAAAAACCTAAAACATCAGTAGGCTGTTAGAAATTGTGGGAGTTGAAGTCCAAAACGTCTGGAGGACCCAAGTTGGCTCATGCCTGGTATATATCCTAGTAGTGCAGGCGAAACGTCAGGAGAGAATGCCTCTAGACCATGGCCATACAGCCCGGAAAAAACCTACAACAACCCAGTGATTCCAGCCATGAAAGCCTTCGACAATATATCCTAGTACTTTATACTTTTTCTTCTTCCTGATTGTGGGTGCACGTACACTATAGAATCAATAAAGTTTGACATCACTTGAACTCCCATGGCTCTATGCTATAAAACTGTGGGAGTTTTAGTTTTACAAGGTCTTTCGCCTTCTCTGCCAAAGAGTGCCGGTGTTTCACCAAACCACAACCCCCAGAATTCCATAGCATTGGGCCATGACAGTTAGAGTGGTCTTAAACTGCATTAACTCAACAGTGTAGGTGCACCCATTGTCATTTTCCTGCACGTTTCACTTTTTTAACAAGACAAACTCAACCGAGGCTGCAACTCCAAGCAGGAAAATACCGCAATGGAGAAAGAAGCATTGACTGAAAGCTGAAAAGCTTCTATAAAAGGAACTGTGTTGTCACAGCTCCCAGCCACAAGTGGAATTGAATGGAAGCCGGTGTTAGGATGAATCATTTCTCAAAATATTTTCTTTCCCTTCTGGTTGAGGTTCTCTTTTCTTCGCACAAGCACAACATGGGCCTTGAAAGGCTCCTCGAATGCCTCCCCATCGTGGACTCTCCTCCTGCCTTCAGAGAGGCTGGCAAAACAGAGATTAGAGGGGGGCTTTCATCAGAAAACATGTTCAAAAATTAGTCAGGCGCCAATCATTCATATTCTGTGCATTGAAAAGAAATGACCCCAAGCCAACCTCCTTCAGCGTGTGCTTTCTTTTCGCAGGATTTTGGAAAGAAGCTGTTACTAAATCCAGCCTTGAATAAATCGTATTTGAATGACACAGCTCTTCCATTCACTTCGAGGATTGCCAGCTTTCGAATCTGTTCCTGAAGATGCTTATTTAATAACCGATCGGCAAGACTTAGCAGGTGCAAAAAGGATATCTTCCCCCTCTTTATAGTCATGCCGTTATAAAGGCACAAGAACAGAGGAGGCAATTATTTTCCTGATTAGTTGGCAACCCTCTTCACTTCCATTGCATTCAATACACATGTCCCTGGGACCTTCCAGAACTTCTTGCTCCCTATTTGTAGCAGATGCAGTAATAACTCAGGTTGCATCTACATCAGCGTTTCTCAACCTGGAGCTTGGGACCCATGGGGGAGGTCACAAGGGGAGAGTCAGAGGGGTCACCAAAGACCACCAGAAAACACAGTTTTTTGTGTTGGTCATGGGGGTTCTGAATTGTGTCCAATTCTGGGCACCACAATTGAAGAGAGATGTTGACAAGCTGGAATGTGTCCAGAGGAGGGCGACTAAAATGATGAAGGGTCTGGAGAACAAGCCCTATGAGGAGCGGCTTAAGGAGCTGGGCATGTTTAGCCTGAAGAAGAGAAGGCTGAGAGGAGATATTATGGCTACGTGCTAGCAGACTGAAGGTGAACCCAGCGAAGACTGAGATTCTCTGGCATGGCCGCCCGGCAGGTCTGACTCCTCC